ATATATATATATATATATATATATATATTAAAACGTTGATTTTCATAAAAGATTTACAAAAATGATTATCACAGTATGTGTCGACTGTGGTTTGACGGACGGAGAGATGGTTTTTGACGGAGGGATGATTCATCCTCAGCCATAATATATCTACAAATAATATAACGTGTTTGACTACGTTATATTGCGAAATATGTGATAATAAATGTGATGGACATTTTAGTGTGTGAATGAAATTATCTTTTTTAAAATGCACCTTGGGTTTTAGCGTTTAAGAAACAGTTCACTTTGTGTGATGCAACATTGTAGTCCCAATGTACAGTAGCTGTATGGTCAAACATTTTAGGCCTCAGTAAAGTTGTAGGCCTCATGTACAGTAGCTGTGTGGCCCAACATTTTAGGACTCATTACAGTTGTAGGCCTCATGTACAGTAGCAGTGTGGCCAAACATTGTAGGCCTCAGTACAGTTGTGGGCTTATGAACAGTAGGTTTAATAATAGCCCCACACATTATTCAGAAAAATTGAGTTTGCTGACCTACCTCATTAAGAGTGTTAATAAGTTTTTTAACAAAACATTTTTAGAAATATTTTAACGTTCGACCAACTGGTTCAAAGTAAAGGTCATGTCGAAGTAAATGTCACGTTTAAGTAAAGGTCATGTTTAAGTAAAGGTCACGTTTAAGTAAAGGTCACGTTTAAGTAAAGGTCACGTTTAAGTAAAGGTCACGTTTAAGTAAAGGTCACGTTTAAGTAAAGGTCACGTTTAAGTAAAGGTCACGTTTAAGTAAAGGTCACGTTTAAGTAAAGGTCACGTTTAAGTAAAGGTCACGTTTAAGTAAAGGTCACGTTTAAGTAAAGGTCACGTTTAAGTAAAGGTCACGTTTAAGTAAAGGTCACGTTTAAGTAAAGGTCGCGTTTAAGTAAAGGTCGCGTTTAAGTAAAGGTCGCGTTTAAGTAAAGGTCACGTTTAAGTAAAGGTCACGTTTAAGTAAAGGTCACGTTTAAGTAAAGGTCACGTTTAAGTAAAGGTCATGTTTTAGTAGCACCCATGACTTAGTTTTCCCGTTACATTTATATAGAACTTTAAGGACTCTTCAATCGCTGGCTCTTTCACAAACTGTGTCCGGGTCATACAAAGCCTTGTGTATGAATGCAATGTCTTCCAGTGAATATCGGTGCCCAGAGATTTGGTTCCTGAATGTGCACCCGGAGGCTAGCGGCGTGTTATAAGTAAACAGGTCATTGTTTAAAACGGACACGCCGGCTTTTCTGGAGCACAGGCCTGTGACGTAGATATCCTCTAACCAAAATGTCGGCAACCGTAGCGACGCCTCGAACAGCAGACGCGAGGCCAGGGACGTCATGGCGTAGGCCGTCCCGGACACGTAGTTCGGGTACGTGTCTTCTTTGAACACGTCATACGGTGTGTACCATTTAGAACCGGTGCTTCTCATGGGCTGGGCGCCCCACTGCACGCTCCCCATGACGAACGCACGCGGTGACTCGGGTGAAGCAGCCTGGCCCCGCAAGGTCTGCACTAGTAATGGAACATTAACGTACATGTCGTCGTCAGCTTTCAGAATAAACACAGCCTCCGGGCATTTCTTAGTCACCCATTTCAGAATAGAAACGGATTTCAAGCTTAAATTGTTGTAATGGTCGATGTAGTTCTCTTGCAGGATATCTCCGAAACGCTGCGCCTCAGCCACGATGTTTCGCTGCGTTTCACTGCGCGTGTCGAGTTCAGATCCTATAAAAAAGATCAAGGTGGCGTTGTTGGCGTTGCTGGCGTAACTCCCCCACGTTTTGCGGATGGTCTCCCTTCCGGCGAAATTGGATCGAGTTATCGGAACGCATATGACCAGCTCAGTGAAATGACCGGCGCAGTTAAATTTGGGCGTGATCACGTGGTGAAAATCATGAGGGTTTATCACCGGCTCTTTTAAAAATGCCTTCTCTTGTACTAGACTAGCATCTGGCCCGGAGTAAATCGATGAGCTTTTGTTCAGTAAGAACGTTGGAGATGTTTCCAGTGTGCCTTTCTCGTGTGCAAGGTCGGTTGAGTTTGCCTTCTCGTGCTTGTGGAACGATTTGAGGACCACACATTGGTAGATGATCACGTTGATAATTAAAAATCCAATTACGAATACAAGTTTGAGGCACGTTAACCGTGTGGTGATGCACGCAGCAGGCGATGGTTCCCTGTGGCAAAAATACAGAGAAAACTAGTAAACGTTTTAAATAGACAGAACTGAAGTCCCATTACATAAATAAATGCTTATTGATTTTATAACACTTAATGGTTTAACAATGGTCAAATAAATTGGTCTTCTCTGGCTCAACTCTACCACCACCATCGACAGATACAATTAGTGGCCTAGCCACAGTGCCACAATGAGTGGCCAAGCGGGTGTTGCAACAATGAGTGGCCTAATGTGGTGGGTTGTCACAATGAGTGGCCAAATGTGGTGGGTTGCCACAAAGAGGGGCCTAATGTGGTGGGTTGCCACAATGAGTGGCCTAATGTGGTGGGTTGTCACAATGAGTGGCCTAATGTGGTGGGTTGCCACAATGAGTGGCCTAGCGTGGGTTGCCACAATGAGTGGCCTAATGTGGTGGGTTGCCACAATGAGTGGCCTAATGTGGTGGGTGTCACAATGAGTGGCCTAATGTGGTGGGTTGCCACAATGAGTGGCCTAGCGTGGGTTGCCACAATTGAGTGGCCTAAGGTGGTGGGTTGCCACAATGAGTGGGCTAGCGTGGGTTGCCACAATGAGAGGCCTAATGTGGTGGGTTGCCACAATGAGTGGCCTAATGTGGTGGGTGTCACAATGAGTGGCCTAATGTGGTGGGTTGCCACAATGAGTGGCCTAGCGTGGGTTGCCACAATGAGTGGCCTAATGAGGTGGGTTGCCACAATGAGTGGCCTAATGTGGTGGGTTGTCACAATGAGTGGCCTAATGTGGTGGGTTGCCACAATGAGTGGCCTAATGTGGTGGGTTGCCACAATGAGTGGCCTAATGTGGTGGGTTGCCACAATGAGTGGCCTAATGTGGTGGGTTGCCACAATGAGTGGCCTAGCGTGGGTTGCCAAATGAGTGGCCTAACTTTGGTTGCCACAATGAGTAGTCTAACTATGGTTGCCAAAATGAGTGGCCTAGCGGGGGTTGTCACAATTAGTGGCCTAGCGGGGGTTGTCATAATTGTCCGTTTTGGGTCCGGTTCTATTCACAATGTATACCGGGCCACTGCTCCTCTTGTTTGGGAGGCATGCTGTGGAGAGCCAGTCATTTGCAGATGACATGCAGCTATCCAAGCATACCAATTCCTCTCTTGTCGATTCTGCTATCCGGACTTTGCGGAGAGCATTGCTGATGTCAAGACGTGGATGACACTCAGCAAATTGAAGCATAACGATGACAAAACGGAAGCACTTCTTAATCACGATCACAAATCATCCTCTAACTCAGCTTTCCCCACTTCCTTTCATGTAGGTCACTCCGACATACAGTTTCCATTCTCCGCTAGAAATCTTGGTTATATTCTGTCTAACAACTTGTCTTCCGATTATCATATCTCTCAGATTTGTCGCTCTGCATACACCGCTATTCGTCAGATCAGCTCCATCCGCCAATATCTTACAGTTGGTGCAACAAAAACCCTAGTCAGTGCTCTTGTTCTCTTTCGTCTTGAGTATTGTAAGTCTCTTCTATCAGGTTCACCAAAACATTTCATAGAAAAATTACAAAAGGTTCAAAACTCAGCCGCTAGGCGAATTCTAAAGGCAAAAAAACTTGATCAGGTCACACCACTACTTCATACACTTCATTGACTCCTTGTACATGAACGGATTGACTACAAACTCTCTGTTCTCTGCCACAACTTTTTCTCGAATTCCTCCCCTTCCTATCTTACCGAACTTCTCTCTGCCTATTCACCCGTTTGACAGCTTCGCTCCTCCGCAGACGCGCGTATTCTTTCTGTCCCCAGACTCGCACAAAAACATACGGTGAACGATCGTTCTCTTTCTGTGCGCCCAATCAATGGACCATTCCTTTACACATCAACCATATACCGACCATCACAACCTTCAAAACGGCACTCAAAGCGCATCTCTTTAAACGCTACTATCCTGACTGATTCCCACCTCTGACCGAAAAACGATGGTACTGAGTGTCGTCCATGGTTTGAGATGGAATTAGTTTTGAATATACATTTGTTTTGTCTTATTTAATTAATGGGTGTCAGTTAATTTTTAAAAAAAGTTTTTTTTTTTATTATGTCTGTTAAGTTGTATGTACAACGCGGTGAGCCCAGCCCTAGGCTTGGGTTATGTCTGTTAAGTTGTATGTACAACGCGGTGAGCCCAGCCCTAGGCTTGGGTTATGTCTGTTAAGTTGTATGTACAACGCGGTGAGCCCAGCCCTAGGCTTGGGTTATGTCTGTTAAGTTGTATGTACAACGCGGTGAGCCCAGCCCTAGGCTGGAGTACCACGCTATATAAAACCACCTATAAAAATAATAATACAAAATAATATGTTTAAGGAAATGTTTTGAAACTTGTATTTTTATTGTTTTAGATTTATTGGTCTTCTTTGTTTTGTTCTTGTGGAAAATGTCACCTCTGCAAATGTTAGCATTCCCCTAGCAACTTCTTAGCATTCCCCTAGCAACTTCTTAGCATTCCTCTAGCAATCCCTAAGCGTATCCATAGCTAACCTCTTAGCATTCCGCGAGCAACCCCTTAGCATTCCTCTAGCATTCCCTTAGCTCTCCATTAGTCAGCCCTTAGCCTTCGCCTAGCAAACCTTAGCACTCTCCTAGAAGCCCCTTAGCATTCCTCTAGCATTCCTTTAGCTCTCCACTAGTCACACCGTTATATTTCGCCTAGCAACCACTTAGCACTCTCCTAGAAACTCCTTAGCATTCCTCTAGCATTCCTTTAACTCTCCACTAGTCACACCGTTATACTTCGCCTAGCAACCACTTAGCACTCTCCAAGAAACTCCTTAGCATTCCTTTACCAACCCCTTAGCATTCCTCTAGAAACCCCGAAGCAATCCTCTAGAAACCCCTTAGACTTACTCTAGCAACCCATAGCATTCTCCTAGCAGTCCCTTAGCATTCCCCTAGCCGTCGTTTAGTCTTCCCCTTAACACTCTCCAGGCACGCCTCAATGTTCCCATAGCAACCCCTTAGCATTGCCCTAGCGACCCCTTAGTCTTCCCCTAGCAACCTCTTATCATTCCTCAAGAAACCCAATGGATAAAATATCAACTTCGGGAAGATGGGTAGGGACTAATTTGTGATGTCAGCTGAATGTGTTAACCACAGTGTTCTGTGACGTCAGATGAATGTGTTAAACCACAGTGTTCTGTGACGTCAGCTGAATGTTTTAAGCCACAGTGTTCTGTGACGTCAGCTGAATGTTTTAAACCACAGTGTTCTGTGATGTCAGCTGAATGTGTTAAACCACAGTGTTCTGTGATGTCAGCTGAATGTGTTAAACCACAGTGTTCTGTGATGTTAGCTGAATGTGTTAAAACAGTGTTCTGTGACGTCAGCTGAATGTGTTAAACCACAGTGTTCTGTGATGTCAGCTGAATGTGTTAAACCACAGTGTTCTGTGACGTCAGCTGAATGTGTTAAACCACAGTGTTCTGTGACGTCAGCTGAATGTGTTAAACCACAGTGTTCTGTCACGTCAGCTGAATGTGTTAAATCACAGTCTTCTGTGATGTCAGCTGAATGTGTTAAACCACGGTGTTTTATGACGTCAGTTGAATATGTTAAACTACAGTGTTCTGTGACGTCAGCTGAATGTGTTAAACTGCGGTGTTCTGTGATGTCAGCTGAATGTGTTAAACCATGGTATTCTGTGCATAAATTAAGCCGTTTATTTATTTAGGTTGAATGGAAAGAAGAAGTTATATCCCTTTTTTGTGTGATATTTCAGAAATCGAACAGTTCGAACAAATCGAACTGATCGAAAAAATCGAACGGATCCATTATCCGGAAGAAGTATCCATTGGAGTCGCATTTATATAATATCCACAACATATCTCTACACCAACATATCCGCCATAGATCCTTACACCAACATATCCACAATATCTCCCTACACCAACATATCCACAATATTTCCTTACACGAATGGATACTTCTTGAGTTGCCTACTGTGCTCTATTATTTGTTATATTTTCATTTCTACTGTTGGCTGAGGAAGGCTTTATGCCGAAACGTCCTTGTTTTTTGTCCTGTTATCTTATTTCAAGCTTCCACATACCTCGTTTTGCTTTTTTATATTCATTTACTAAGCTTGAAAGCAGTCCTTTCATTTATATTTTCTGGCTGTTTCTGACAGCGAAAGGATGTGGGTTCCTAATTGTTGGGCCGGCAAATGCGAACGTGCGCCTTCCGTAAGTCTCAAGGTGAAGGCGTCGTATCGAGAGTTTGCCACTATCGGATGAGTGGAGTTGTCTAGTGGATACATAAAGCGTCATGGGCGCTTTGAGATAGGACGGCGCCAGGTCTTGCAAGCAGCGGTAGCACCAAGTTGCAATTTTGTACTCTATGCGAGCGATGAACCAGTAGCCAATGCAACTCTCTCCGAAGTGTTTAAGCCCGGGTCAAATCAGAAGTGTTTAAGCCCGGGTCAAATTTGCGTTTGACAAACAATACGGGTCGCATTATTCTGTACTATTTAAATTTTGAATATCACCTTACACCAACATATCCACAATGTATCAATACACCAACATATCCAGAATATATACCTACACTAACATATTCACACTATCTCCCTAGCCCCAACATATCCACAATATCTCCCAACACCAACATATCAATAATAAAACCCTTCAGTAACATATCCATAAAATCTCCCTAAACCAACATATCCGCCATATCTCCCTACACTAACATACCTGTAATACCTTCCGACACTAACATATCTACAATATCTCCCTACACCAACCTATGCATAATACATCCCTACACCAACATATCCACGATATCTCCGAGCTACACCAACATATCTATAACATCTTCCTACACCAACATACCCACAGTATGTCCCTACACTAACATATACACAATATCTCCCTACAACAGCATATGACAATATATCTCCTCACCAATATATCCACAATATCTCCCTACACCAGCATGTGACAATAAGTCCCCACACTAACATATCCACAAT